AAGACTACAATATGGTATATATGCAAGTACATATATAGGATATATTAGTAATTCAAGATTGAATTATTTAAAGCAACGAAGATCCAGCTCGGACCGTAATAGGCAGTTACATTATAATATTAAAAAAAACAGTTAATAAAAATGTTTTTTTCCTTTTCAATTCAACAGCATGCACAACAAATTTATGATGCTCGAAATTATTATATTTTTATTAATGTAGATATATGTTGATAATACATGTATTCATTTTTCTAAATATATTGTAGTAATACACTTATATAAACAAATTAAATTTTCATAAATAAGATTTTTTATTTCAAAAAATTAGCATAAAGATATCAGCATAAATGCTATGAGAGAATATGCTCAAGAATTAAAGAAATTAAAGAAAAAAAATTTCTTATAAATAACGGGAAATACCTGATGCATGCGGTATATGTCGTGCATCATCATCTCTAATACTTTTGTATGTTGAAGTAACACTTTCGAATGCATCTGGGCTTCCTTTTAGTTCCAAAGGATAGTCACTTACACTGTTAGGAAAAAATTCCAGGTGTTAAAGGATAAATAAATATCTTTAACAAAATGCTGATATTACCTATAATCTATTTCATTAGTGTATGCGTTATCTATGTAAGTGTCATCGTATTCTGGTGTAGAATATGGTGTTCGACGCATCATCAATATTCTCGGCATCCAATTTAGAAATACTTGTCTTACCCATGGGGACATATTATGCGTAGAAGGAGATCTATGAGAGAAATAATTCGATATCACATTTGATTCATTATAAGGATTACAGTTAATGAATGTTAATTTGCGCAATTATTTTTTCAACAGTAAAATCGTCAAACTGTAAATTCGGATTAGAAAACTTAATTCTGATTAAAAAATTACAAAAAATCATGTATTTTACTAAAATTATTTTTTTTAAATAAAATTTTTATTCCAAACTGAAGTATATTAATTCTTAATAAATTAAATACATCTTATTTTTCAATTTTCTTAATCACATTTACAAATGGATTTATCTAAAATACTTGCGAGACATTTATTTTGAATGGATCATGTTATAGATTTGTATTTAAGAGACAGGATTCGAAATCAATTGATGTTTCTAAAATATGTAAAATACATCACGACCTACCGAAAGTGTACATTTAAGACACAGACAGTGATCCAAATGGACAAAGTAACTAAAATCATGGTGAACAATAGATATTTCCCGAGCAAAGGTATAGCTAACGATGTTGGCGGAATAATCTCTGCTAAGAGTAAGAAGAACACCGTCAATGAGAGAAGAATGGAAGAGCATAATGATACCTGTACAAAAATGCGAAGCAATAATAAATACATTTTCGATGGTTAAAATATAATAATATAATAAAATCATTTCCATATTGATGCATTTGTTATTATTTTGAATTCATTGAGGTTTTTTGTATGTGGCGTGGATCAAAATTTTTAACAATATTACAAGTGTAAAGAAATTTTCTATGAAAATTTATGAATTTTATGTACACATTTTTACGGCTCCTCAAATAATGCTACCTACTTTTTCGCCGGAATCGCTGGGCAGATAAAAAACCAGCACCGTTAAAAATGTGATACCGACGCAGGGTATAATAAGATTGACAGTATAAAATAGTGTTTTTCTTCTCATCGTAATATTGAATGTGATATCTGAAATTAAACGATAATTGCAATAATTTGAATCAAATTAACTTCAAGACAATTTATAATTTTAAATTGCGCCATTAATAAAAAATAGCCAGAATGAGCAAACACAATTATTTTTTCTTCTGAAAATAAAGTTTAAAATCTTATGAAATCTTACCAGAATAAGGTTCCGTACAGCATGGATAATATTCTTCGTTGCGTGTTGCTGGAACTTCTAGGATATCCCATTCCACTGATAGATAAAAGTCGGTGAGATCTATACCGATCGCAACAAGATTGCTACCAGACTCCTGCTTCATATGCTTCAGATCTACCTGCAAGAAAAAGTACATTTTCAAACTATGTCAGACTAAAGTTACATAATTTAAAGCTATAAAAAAGATTGCAAAGTGATTAACATTGCTACCTTAAATATTCTACATTATAAAAACAAAATATTAAATTATAAACAGAAATAAAACTGAAATTAGCAGAGATGGGCAAAATGGCTGCAAAGATAGCTGCTCGAATCTATTTGAAATCGAAAATGTAAAATTGCTGTAATCTTTCCATTTGGAAATATAAAATACAAAATGGGTTTTAGACACCTATTTAAAATAGAAAATAGAAAATAGACATTTTTTAAATGGTTTTTCCAAATGGTTTTTTAAAAATGGATTTTTAAAAACGGTTTTTTAAATATTCTTATATTTATTTTGCATGTTTAACTTACATTTATATTTTAATTCTTATTCTTTAATATTCTTATTTTTGATATTCTTTACTATAACTTTTTATACAATATATCTTATATTTTATATAATATATGTATATAAACTTTTATAAAATATGCAATATAATTTATATATAAACAAAAGATTTATACAGGGTATAACTGAAATAACACCCACTAATCATACAGTGCTATGCATAATAAAAAAACTAAGTCGAAAGGTCCTCTACCATTTTGCAATTTTCGCAATAGTTAAGGAGACATTAATTTCTAACTATTGCTGAATAAATAAGGTCTGTTTTTTATTGCTGCACTTTGAATCGATGCAATAAGTTGAAGTGAAACAAATATACGTTTATTTCACTTCATCTTATTATACTGTGTGTACCAGTTCAGAAAGCGAAGCAATAAAAAACCGATCTATGGATAAAATCGATGTATAAGACAATTTTGAGATATCTTTCCGTGTTTTTTGTGAAATATTTTGAAGATTTTTTTTAAAAAACTCTTAAAGATATCTTAAAGCAGATAACTATTAATGCCAACCTAAATATTTTTAAATCTAATTGTATTTCTCTCTCAAATAGAAAATGGGTATTAAATATCATTTAAATGGAAATGTAGTTGTTTTTGAAAAAATATATTTTAAATACAAAATACAAAATGGGCATTTTGTATTTTGTATTTCCATTTTAAATGCATCTATTTCAAATAATGTCCATCTCTGGAAATTAATATTATAAATCTACACATTAATTATCTATTAAAATTTTTAAAGAAAAATAAATCATAATTAAAAGATACTTTAAAAACAAATTTAAGATAAGACTATAATACTTTTTAATAGAAAATTTATTTAAAATTTTAATTAATTTTAAGTTGTTTTATATTTTGCAATGTTTAAATTTTTCTTGTTGTATTAGCAGTATTTAATTTTAAAAGTAACTTTTATTTAATGTTATTTAAAGAATATGTTTTGTTATTTTATTCCGAAATTAAGTTTGCTACATAAAAAAGTTTCTATTAAATATCAATAATTAATTGAAGCTTTAATATTATATTCGTTAAAGAAGAGTTGTTCTTAGATAAATAAAGATTGGTCAAACAATCTTTGGTTAAAGAAATTCAGTTGTTTTGGGATATTTTATATTGTTCGTATATACAAGTATAACCTGAGCGCCATTGTAAGTCCATGAGCCAAATTTCATAATACATGATTGCTCATCAAACGGAAAATATTCCACATTGATCTCACAAGACGATTTATAAATAGCTGGTGGTTTCCAGAATACCTCACCAGTGTATTTCAAAGTAGCCTTTGTCATTAATGTTACTTCATAATTTCCATCTGCGCTGTACAACAAAAGGAAAAAAAAGATTAGTTCGAAAAATGCTTTCTATAGCACCTCATATTTTAACGTAGCAAATATATATTTTCTCTAATTTTCATAGAATTTCGACGATTTTGAAAAATAAATTTTTCTACTTTTATTTGCAAAAACCTTGTGGCATAGAGATTTTATTTATTTTTATTCGATTGTAATTTGTAACAAATCTTTTGCAATTTACTTGTTGTATAGAACGATATCCGGAAGCCATATGTTCTCGGAAGGCACATATAACATATCTATACCACCATACTCTTGTGGATCCCACTGTAATTTATAATCAAACCATTTCTGCAAGAAACGAATAGATATCAGTTTGCTGATTGCCTGACTACAACGCTCGGTACTACTGCGAAAGTGAAACAAACTAATACATATAACTGACCTGCTCTACCCAGACGTTGGTTGTCATCACTTGGTTCTTTAGATTCTGTAAAGTCAAGCATTTAGTTTAACTTTTATAAATCCTTTAAATACAATAGAATGTTACATATAACATTAGGTGTTAAACTTAATTCCTATCGCTCGCTACTAGAGGGCTCTGCCTCCAACGCTGACGAGTTTCGACGATGAAGTCACATGTCTTTTGTAGTTTAGAACATCGCTGAAAGTGATTCAATCCTCACAGGTTAGATTTCTCGAGTCTCGTTTGCTTGCTCGAGTAGGACGGACGCATGTTCACCCCGTTGTCGAGGGCCTGGGCCAATTAAATTAATAAGAAGAAGTTAGATTTCTCGGTGACTCAAGTCTAGCAAGACCGCTCGATCAGGACGGACCTGTGTCTGCCCTGCTTCGGGTATTGCATCATCTTATTAATTTTTTGCTGAAAAGCGTTTCCGGCTATAACTGTGATTTGTAAGCTTGGCCACGTAAATCCAACTAAGTTGGAACCTGGGCCATATAAATAAAGAAGAAGAAGAAGTTAGATTTCTCGACGCCAAAGAGATTTTCCAATCGATTGAAAATGAATTGCGATAAGCTATTTTTCCGACATGTGCTTCTTCACTACTTTGACCTCAAGAAAACCGCAGCTGAAGCGCATCGCTTATTATCTGAAGTGTATGATGATGAAACTCCATCGGAAAGAACATGTAGAGTTTGGTTTCAACGCTTCCGGAACGGTGATTTTGATGTGAGAGACAAAGAACGTCCAGGACAGTCGAAAAAATTTGAAGATGTCGAGCTGCGAGAATTGCTTGATGAGAATCCAGCTCAAACGCTTTTAGAGTTGTCGAAACAGTTAAATGTTACTCCAAAGGCCAATTGAGTGACGAATTGATGCAAAAAAGATCATTCGTAGCCAACAATCGATGCA